GAAGGCAAAAAACTTGGCTGTTCCCATTGTGCAAATACATCACATTTGGGGGTCCTTGGAGGAAAATCTTTACACATTTCTTTGGAATGGCAAAAGTGTACTATTAAAGCATCTGGAACTGATAAAAAAGTTCAGCAAGCTTCATTAAGAAAAAAAATGAAGGAACATTTTGAATCAAGCTCTCATTTGAGCGTTATAAATATTTTAAATGAATCTAAAAAAGAACCTCTCACTACAGTGATAGATAAACTTACTGAAAAAAATATTGCAATAACCAGCAAAATTTTCAACATAGTTTACAGCTTAGTAAAAAGAAACCGACCAATGTCAGATATGGAGGATGAAGTAGAGCTACAAATTAAGAATGAAACCGACTTAGGAAACTGCCTACATTCTCGATTTTTGGCCATCAGAATCGTAGCACATATTGCTGAATTAATAAGAAAACAAATTTTTAGTAAAATCATCAAAAACAATTCAAAGATTTGTATTATTATTAATGAAGCTTCTACAATTTCAAGTAAAACTGTGCTTGTAATTCTTATAAAATGTGAATTACAAGATTCTTCACCAACAATTTTTCTTGATTTAGTGGAATTAGATTCAACAAAAGCAGAAAATATTTATAGTGCTTTGAGAAATATGTTAACCGATACAGGATTTGACACAGAATATTTAAAGAAAAATGTAATCGGATTTTGTTCTGATGGCGCAAGCACCATGCTTGGACATAAATCTGGAGTTGCTACAAGACTGATTCAAGATTTTCCAAACATTATAATTTGGCATTGTTTGAATCATCAGCTACAACTGGCTTTAGATGATGCTATAAATGATATCAATGAAATAAGCCATTTCAAGATTTTTTTTGGACAAGATTTATGCAATTTTTCATCAGTCAAATAAAAGTCAGTTTGAACTTAAACAAGTTTCTGAAGAATTATATATTGAAATCATCAAAATAGGCCATGTTTTTGGTCCACGATGGGCTTCTTGTAGCCTTAGAGCTGTCAAAGCAGTCTGGAGAGCTTATCCAGCTCTTTATATTTATTTTTCCAAAAATAAGAAATTTTCTGGCATGGAAAAAAGATTGAAAAACAAAGAATTTTTAAAAGACTTGGCATTAATGATTGACATTTTGGATGAACTTGCATTATTATCAAATGCACTGCAAGCGAGACAATTGAGTTTAACAAAGGCAGATAAGCTAATCAAACGAAGGATTGATTTTTTTCATACAAGTAAAAGATAGATTTGGTATACATCAGTGTTTCTCAAACTGGGGTCGCTGCTTCTGTAGGGAAAGCCCCTGGCGGGCCGGGCCAGTTTGTTTACCTGCTCCGTCCGCAGGTCTGGCTGATTGTGGCTCCCACTGGCCGCGGTTCGCTGCTCCAGGCCAATGGGAGCTGCTGGAAGCGGCGCAGGCCGAGGGACTTACTGGCCACTGCTTCCAGCTGCCCCCATTGGCCTGCAGCGGCAAACCGCAGCCAGTGGGAGCCGCGATCGGCCGGACCTGCAGACGGGGTAGGTAAACAGGCCCGGCCCACCAGGGGCTTTCCCTACACAAGCGGCGACTCCAGTTTGAGAAACACTGGTATACACGAAAATAAAATGAATGAAATGATAGAAAGTGATCCTTTTAAGTGCATAGAGTTTGAAGATAATGTAAGGTTTAAATCACTGCCATGGGACAAAGTAATAGTGTATTATTGAAAAAATGAAGGCAAGATTATTAAATGAAAATCACATTAAATATAAAGAAGATAATTTAGGTCATTCTAGTAATACACCTAAAATAGTTGAATTATTCAATGTTATGGATCCCACTTCGTGGAATATTGAAGAAGTCAGGTTACTTTGGAAATCAGGAGAAGAAAAAGTGCATGAATTAAATAAATTCGTAAAATTTGTAGTTGATTTAAATGATTTTCGTGACTATGTAGAGAATAACGTTGAATCAAAAAATCTTCCTGATCCGGAAACAATAAGGAAAGCAAAGCAAATTATGAACACAATTGCAATTAGTTCTGCAGAAGCAGAAAGAGCTTTTTCGTTGATGAATATTATTTGTAGTGATAAAAGGGCGAATTTAACAATTAAACATATCTCAAGCTTTATGACCATCAATTTGTTGGGAAAACCACTAAGTTCCTGGAACCCAATACCATATGTTAAATCATGGATGAGAAGTCATCGATACACTTTAGATACCAGCGGTCGTGTATCCAACACCAAAGATTATGGAGAAGATCAAGAAGCCATTTGGAAATTACTACCTAATTAGTAATAAATAATGTACTTAAATATTCTTTAAAATATTGTTTGTTGCATTGTATACTTCAACATGAATATATTACACTTTTTATTTTTAATAACTTAAGTAGTTCACATGTAATATATTAAAATACAAGAATAATAGGCATTTCATTCTTAAATATTGTTTGCTTACTCATACATCTCTTCTTTATATTTTCTTCTTTTCAAATGTATTTTAAATTCGTTTAATAAAGCAATACTTTATTACAATATAAACAAACGTAAAAATGTTTTTAATTTTTTTTATTGTTAAGTATGACTCCCAATGACTCAATGCATTGCCACTTCTTATGGAGAAAGATACAAAAAATACATTCTGTGGCACATCCCTTAAATCAGAACTTTTTATAGGGAACCAGTTGTTAAGATTTTGGCAGCTCATCACTGATTGTCTCTACTACTTGGGCCAGATACATGTTGCCGCCCACTGCAACATCTGCAAGTCCTTCCTGTCAAGGATCCATGATGCTCATCTTCTGCGCCTCCGCAAGTTCCTCATGGTGGAGGTGCTCCAGCCTTGTGCGGAATCCGATCCCGGACCATTGGTACTGACAGTGCACCACACCTCACCAGGGGTGAGCGTTCTGCCCTCGGCCTCAGGCCTGGATCCACTGTCACTGCCGAGATGTGAGAAGGCAACCAAGGAGAGCCGCAAGCACTCTCATGAACACTGCAGCAGATCCCTGTCATGGACCGCTGCAATGCATCACATTTCTTCCCCAAGGCAGGCCTGGTCAGTTGAGATGTCGTCATGTGATGACCCTGCCGGGCCACCCCCGAAGGCCGGGGGCAAAGCAAATTGGAAGCGAGACCCACTGGCACCGCCGGTCCCTGTGATGACCAAGGGTCATGATAGCCTGCGGGTGTGTTCCTCAGCCATGGCAAGAGTTCTGGGACTTGGCTCCATGTACCCTGTCCTGGTTCGGCAGACAATGGAATGTGCCCTGGACACTGGGATGGATGGATTTGCTGGTCCCTACCACCCACCTTGAACTGCTGTACCCACCCTTGCCACTTCTCTCAGCCCTGCAGCCTCCAACACTGGCAGATTAGCCGCCACTCCTCATCTGCCACACACCTCTGTTGGTCATGGTATCAACCACCATTTCCAGAGGCTTCATCAGACTTGGAGGACTTCTTGGCAGAGAAGCCATCCCCCAAACTCCTGATCGGACACAGGAGGAGTTGACCTGGTCTGTGAGCAACACCAGAAGGGAAGGTCTAATTTGGAAAGGGATCTGGCCTGTCCCCGACCCACTAGGTGGAACACAGAGACTGCGAGGATTTTTCTCCATTTCCCCCATGCTGGCCAGTGATGAGGTTATCTGAGTGAATGGCAGGTTTGAGCCTCTAGCAGAAATGGCCAAACTGAGGGCTGCCGTGAACCTCTGAGGTGAGCAAATCCGCCAGAAAGTGCAGGACCCACCAAGGCAGAGGAGGAACTTTGTCACAATACATAGTCGCTGTCAGCTGTTTATGAATTAGCAAACAGTTTCAGTTTCTCAGTATATGCCAATATATTAAATTAATATATAATAGTTGATGCAGTGTGTGCTTTTTGCCTGACTAGTCAGAGTTTATTAGATAGAAGTGCACTATGTGCGGGTTTTGTGGACTTCCTGTTTTCATATTAACAATGAGGACAAGTGATTAATCATTTAATGTATAGTGATGAGTCAGTTCATCTGGGCCAGTTTTTAATCAGTCAGGGTTTTCCATATTCCATTTTTCTAGAATCGTGTGTGGTTTTATACAAGTTCTACTAGTTCAACGTCAAGCTCGTTGGCAATTTCAAGTTACATTTCAAGGCATCAATTGATCGAAATTAGGAGCTTTAAAATGCTATAATAAAATCTGGAAATTTACCCAGTGATCCCATTCCTCATCTAAGGCACATCAGTAGAAGTTTAGGATATTTTGCATGTACTTTCTTTGCCTGGATACAGTACATACAGTAACAAAGAACAATGATTATGATACAAATCAAAGACCTGAATCTTGCAAACATTTCCTATCTAAGTCCTTACACTTAACTGTATCTTTAAGGAAGAACCTTGTTCGATTTCTCTGTTTGAGGACTTTTAGTGATATATTTTTTATGTATTTTAATCATCTACATGTACTGCAAGTGGCTTTTTCTTTAAAAAAAAAAGAGGGGGGGATCAATTGTCTGAAGTATCTGAAATAATCCTAATCCTATGAACAGTTGAACAGGGTTTAGGAACCATATGGTGTAGTTTTGATCTGCAAATGAGCCAGGTGCTGTATTTTTTGACTAGCTACATGCTTATGTGCTTCATTTTTACTATCTTGTTGTCAGAGATGACCGTAAAACTTGGTTTATCACCAAATGTAAAGCCTACCTTTGAAATTCCTACCTTGTCTTGAAGACACATTCCTCTCTCTTCCCCCCTCCATGTCAATAGGAGCAGCAGTTCCTGATTATAGGAAGATATTGGTTTGATGATAAATTTTATGACTAAGGATGTGATTTCTATGCCAGATTCAGAAGAAAACACATTTGCCCAGGCTCATAGATGACAGAGAATAAAATTGTGACACGGGCAAAATGTAGGTCAGGTCATTCATTATCTTATCTACAGACCAAGCACCATACACAATACTGTCTGATTGCTGAAATGCAGGGACATGGTTCACAGAAAAAGGCAATATTACTGAATTATAACAGATGTAGTGGAACTAGGGAAATGACTGGGACTTCAAAAGAGTAGACTATGCAGCTTATCTAAAGGGTAATGAAAGAAAGAAACTAGGCAGCTTTGTTGTAAAGTTAATGATGAATAATCCTGCATCTGGAGAGAGAAATGTGCATATTTTGACTAAGGAAGATAAGCTTCCAGTAACGCAACCAATGTAAAACCAAAGATGCACATAGATCACTGTTGTTGGAGAGAGCAATTCGATAAGTAATCCGCCTCTCTTTGGTGAATTCTGGGTCACACAACCACGCTTTCCCGAGCGTGCCCTGATTGTGGTTAGAAGGGATCACCCTGTATTGCAGCCAGCATTTTAAAAAAGGGGGGGAGGGGGGCAACGCTTCCTGTTTGTCTCCCTTCCACCCCAACCCGGTGCTGTTTTTGTAACAATCAAAGTATTTGTGGGGCTTTACGCTGGTGCCTGTCCTCAAGCACCATCCAGGTTGCTATGGGAAAGGGGGTTATGCTGAGGTTGGAACCATTGATCCCATGGATATCTTAACAAAAGTTGCAGCACAAGACCTCTCGCCCATGCCTCGTAGCCTTACTCACCATGGCTGTAGCAGCAAACCAACTCTTGCAGTAGCCAGCGGTTGTGATTACATTGTGGCTTGCAGGGAAGTGCATTGAGGGGTGTTTCTTTTATAAAAGGAATTAACCTTGCACCAGAAACAATGTATGCACTGTCAATGCTACCCTTGTGCTTTGTATTCTTTGCAGCTGAAACCTAGTCTGTAGGCGCATCCAACACGCTGGGACAGAGACTTTCCCAGATTAGAAGGCAGAAAAAGAAAACTCGAGAGGACATGTTCAATGAGTTAAAGCATGCCTCAGAGAGTGACAAGACGGAGCTCAGTGCATGAAGGATTGCACTGTCAGCCTGCACAGTGACCCCAAAGACAGGAGAGCATGCAGGGAACACAAGCGTGACATGCAGGACGAGATGGTGTGGATTATGAGGGAGCAAACAGACATGTTGAGGCATCTGGCTGAGGTTTAAGAAAGGCAGCTGGATGCTAGAATCCTGTTGCAGCCTATGCTGAACCTGCTGCCATCATTACCAAGTTCCACATCCTCCTCTCCCAGACGTCCTAGGATGCGGGGGTGGGGGAGAAGTCCAGTATCCCTTACACTCAACTCCATAGGAGGGTACAAGGACCAGAAGGCGCCCATTCCCACACCCTTGATTGTTATTGAAGTGCAATTGTAAGCAAGATGCCCTTGTTTCTTCCCCCCTGTGTTATCAGCCCCTTAACCCCAGCTTTTCTTTGCTGCCTCTCAGTGTTTGTGAGCATAATAAAAATTAATGGATTGAGGAGAAAAGGCTCTTTATTCATTCAGCACACTGTAGTTAGTGGGGGTGTAGTTTACAGGGGAGTACATGCAATGAAGGGGACAGCTTGGTAAGGAGCAACACACATGTGTGTCATAATACTGTGGGTCATTGATGAAACTAGTTTTCAAAGCCTTATGGAGATGCAGTGTGCCTCAATGTGCTCTTCTTATTGCCCTGGTGTCTGGCTGTTCAAAATTGGCTGCCAGGCAATCTGCCTCAACTCCCCACCGGAAACTTTTCTCCCTTTGTTTCACAGATATTACGGAGCACACAGCATGCAGCAACAACGGGGATATTGCTTTCACTGAGGTCTAACCTAGTAAGCAAACTATGCCAGTGGGCTTTTAAACATCCAAAGACACATTCCACCACCATTCAGCACTTGCTCAGCCTATGGTTGAACCGGTCCTTACTGCTGTCCAGGCTGCCTGTGTACAGCTTCATGAGCCATGGGAGCAAGGGGTAGGCTGGGTCTCCCAAGATCACGATTAGCATTTCAACATCACCAATGGTAATTTTGCAGTCTGGAAAGAAAGTTCCTGCTTGCAGCTTTCTGAACAGATTGGAGTTCCTAAAGATGCGCATGTCATGCACCTTTCCCGACCATCCCATATAACACCATTGAGAAGTACCCCTTTCGGTTTGTGTATTCTTTGGGAAGATGGTCTGGTGCCAAGATAGAGATATGCGTTCTGTCTATCATCTCACTGCAGTTAGGGAACCCCATTGCAGCAAAACCATCCACTATGTCCTGCACATTTCCCAGAGTCACTACCCTTCCTAGCTGAAGTCTATTGATTGCCCTGGGAACTTGGATCACAGCAAACCCCACGGTAGATTTACCCACTCCGAATTGATTCCCCACTAACTGGCAGAAGTCCGGCGTTGCAAGCTTCCACAGAGCTATCACCACTC